AATGTTTTCTTCCACAAACAGACAACATTAATTCAATAATCTCTGCAGGTGCTTAACTGTGTGCCAAGCCGGTCTGGAACAGGTATACACAGTTCCACAGAGTAAAGTCATATCGGTGAAATACTGATCATCATTTCACTAGAACGTAAATGAGTCCCTTATCAACCTCTCCCAGAGCAGTATCTCCAAAGTCATCCGATTCAAACCAAGGCTCAGCATTCAATAAATCACTACCATTCTTTTTGTTCCTAGAACACTTTCCTCTCTGTCCCAGAAAATTATTTTAAGAACAATCCCATACGGCACAAAAAGCAGCTCCCTGAAGCAGCACCTGAGTGGATTTTTGAGACGGAACAAGTCGATTTATCCTGGTCCATCTTATTTTCTTTCAAACAGATCAGGAATGAGCCAAAGCTTCCAAATTAGCACACATGTAGAGTTTGCTGAGCTCACTTTTAGACATTACCTTAAAGGCCCCAACATCCTACATTATTTTTGTATTTGATTTTTTTTTTTCCCCTGAGGTCCATTTATGATGTTGGTCTGGGTTTAATTCCTTTTTACCTGACCATTTTCAAACCTCTCTTTATCCTTTACAATTAAATAGACTGGTAAAGGCTGCTAAACAGCCTTTAAGACTGACATATGCAAACAAGCTCTGTTCTGATTGGCTGCCCTGTATTGGCCCCCATTCAGTCTGGGGTGAAACATTCCTTACAACATTAGTATGTATGGACAAAGCTGCTGTAAAAGGTGGATATACAGTGCTCAAAAATACATTTGGAACACTTCTATCATCATTTGTATTTAGAATTAGTTAATTTGTTAATGTATTGTGGAAATTGTGCTTTATGATATTCAAAAGTACATCACTTCAGCTATATTATGACTTGTCAATCAACTCAAACCATAGATCTCCAACGTACCATGCAATGCATCTTCAAGCTGTCACCCAAAAGAAAGGTCTGACTGTTTGACTGTTACACATGGTGTTTTTTCCTCAGTTCGCACCAACCTTCAAAGACTTTTCTCACTGATTTTCCTCTTTGACCCACGTCCTAGGAGGTTCTTGACAGTTCCATAAGCAACAAACTTCTTAATTACATTACGCACTGTTGAAACAGTGATGTCAAGGTCTTTGGAGATGGCCTTCTATCCTTTACCATTGTGTTTGTAGATATTAGCACTTCTGATGCTCTCAGATAGCTCTCTGGTCTTCACCTTTGTGAAAAGGGATCAGGGAAAGTAAAATGGCCTTTGTAAGCATTAAAGCTATCATTCATTGGTTAATTCAAGTCATGTGAGCTGTCATTTATCAGAGGTAATTCTAACTTAATTAATCAGGTGAGTCTAATCTAGTATAATCTGAAGGGAATTCATCAAAAGGGAGCCAATAATTGTGTCATGTCCATATTTCTGTTTTTATGCTTTTTCCCCCCATAGCTTTTTTTTTTTTTACTCTTAGCTGGTGTGTATTGAACATGAGTGTATATTGACCTAAGACACTTCACAACACATTTTTTATTTAGGAAATATTGTACATTATGTACTTAAAATTCAGGGGTGGAAATAATGGTGGCCAGAACTGTCGCAGAAACAGAACACCTGTTGATTCGTAACACAGTTATAATAATAGTCAATGGGTGGATGCTGATGCAAATACAGTCTACAGTCTTGCTAGGCTGAAGTACAGTAGGCATCAATGAATGAGACCAAACAAGGCCACAGATCAGCCCCTTTACCATGACTCTTGAGTGACTATCACCCTTGCAATCTCATCTCTCCATCCCCTCAACAAGAAAAGCACTGCGAGGGCACTCGAGAAAATTATTCTAACCTCTCCTGTTATCTTTATCTTTAATCTCCGGTAACTAGAGGGAACGCAGAGAGTCCGGCTCACTGGACAGTGCAGCTGGAGCCGTTCACTGCGCATTTTACTCACTGACCCTAGTTAAAGTTGAAAGCAGGTGAACAGAGGCTCTGGGGATAATACAGTGGCCTTGTGCTCGGCAGAACGTTGACCCTGTGAAGTACGCTGATTGGACTGCGGGATGAAATGAGTTTGTGTTAATGTCTTTCTGGGAACAGGATGAAGGACAGCGGCTGATTGAAAAGGTCGCAGATAGAGATGGGACTTTGCCCTGATGCCATTTCTACCAAAGGCCCAGCTCTACATTAAATCACCATGTACTGTCATGACTGGCATGTTTATTAGCAGCATGTAGTGTTCCTGAAACTGGAAAAAAGAGAAACATGTACAGTATGTAGTGTCTTTCTTCTTGCAATCTGATAGGCGCTGTGAGTGCAGTGATGAAAGCCAAGACCCAAATCTCCATTGTTAAAGCTGATTTCAGTGGATAATTTGGAATTATTTCTTACTTAAACTCTTAAAAATAGCAGCATATAACAGCAGCAATAACAGCATCAAAAGGATTCTTTGGAGTGATGTCATAGCAAAACTACTCTTGGTTCTTTAAAGGAATACTGTTTAAACATGTTTCCATTTTTAATCCGCTGTAGCAACTGCCTATTGGCTGCTAATATAAGTGTGTTTTGAGTGAAATGGGGGTATGTATGAAAGTCAGAGACCACCCTTTTTTAATTTAATTTCCATTCACCATGGTCATTAAATACAAGTTATTCAATTTTCCGCATCACAAAAAAAGCAGAAAACATATTTTTAGCTGAAAATTACACAACGTTCAACAACTAAAATCATTTTTCTTTAGTATTTATTGTGACCACCCTGTGTCTTTTTTACAGCTGCCATTCTTTTTGAGAGACTTGCTTTGAGTTTTTCAAAGAAATCTGCATGGATATTTTTCACACCTCTGAAGTTCAGTCTTAAGGCCTCAGCATACTTCTTGCAGAGACAATGTTTGCCTGGCTTCAGCAAACAATATGACGTAATTGCGGAGAAAACGAACAACCATAGGCGTCATGCGGGGGCTTCGATCACCACACATGGCAGTTGGGCGAACTCCGTGGACGAAGCCACTACACGATAAAGTCTCTCATTGGACGGTACAAAAGAGGCATGCCATTAAACAAAGATGGACGACTTTGAGGAGCTTTGATTTGTTAAATAAACAATATCTCCTAAATGTAAGATGTTAAGTCTTCGCTAGTACTAACTAGTACTAAGCACCAAAACATATAGGTTATCTTAAATTTAGGTTCACAAGAGGATGAGGCTGAAGTTGGCTTTCTATTCACCAGCTTCTTATTAAAATTTTCCCGTTCCACCTTAAATGGTGGCAGTATTCTGAACTTAAACGTTGCCATAGTTTAGAACTGTGAAAGAATCATTTTCTAACAGTCATGAAACTTATCATAAAATGTCATAATGTCCCGTGGAGCATCTGCGACAGGCAACACGAAACCGCAGAAAGTATGTGAGCTTGTAACACAACCCTCGAGAATTTTGTTTTGCGAAAAGTATGCTGAGGGCTTTAGAAGTTGGTTGCATTTCTAAGTAACCAAAGACACATTCACTGTGTTGAGGTCTGGAATCTGGGGAGGCCAGTCTATTGTTCTGAGAACATGAGCAACTTCTATCTTTGATTTGATTTCTCCTTTTTGTCTACTTCATTTTTCTTATTAACAGCTTCTTGGCTGTTACACACACTTTATTAATTAATGTATTAGTTAATATAAAGAGACTTCACTCCAAGTGATTTCAAGCATTTCTATTTGTCCAATCATCATGAAGTTTCACAGATCATGAAGGACAGCCAGTGTGTTGAAATGATGCAGAAAAATAAAAATTGACAAAAATGATGAGATTTTGTGCTGTTTTGACTGCAAATTAAAGAAATGAAGGGTGGTCTCTCACTTTTGCACAGTTCTGTAGTTACTACAGGAAAAAGCATTAAAACAGTTGTCCATGGTAATCTCCCATATGCTGCAGAGGCAGGAGACAGAGATTAGGTTAAAAGTGCAGGAGTATTCCTTTGCAGAACTATCCACTGAAAGGTTCTATAGGGACCCAGCGGTGGTTATTTTTCAGAGCATACTGTACATGATGAATTTGACCAACTGTACGTTTACTACAATACTCTACTGTTTGTGACAGTTACAAAATTGAGATCTTGTCTTTAACAGTCTCCTTCATCATGTCACACTGCAGATGACCTTACAGTTCATTGATTAGGAGCAGGCTGACATGCATGACCTCTTGTTACCGAATACGCTTAGTCCATATTGATTCACCATCTCCACATCTGTATCTCCGCCTAACGCTTGTGCTCGCAGCAAAGACATTACTTATACTCCTCTCCCTTCTCATGAATACCAATGAGAAGAGCAGACCATTCATCCAAGCTGAGGTAAAACCCTCTGTTAAGAGCATGAACATGCGGGGACAGGCATCGCCAGCACACAGAACATGTGCTGGGACTGTGCAAGAGTAGTGTGCACAGTATGCATCTTTCTCTAGCAATGGCAGAAAAGAACGAGAGAATTTCAAATGTTTTGAGTCTTATGAAACTCGTGTTTGATGCAGAGCTTGAAACGCACACTTTCTATGTCATTACATATTAGATTGACTTTGAATCAGAATTACTTGCTCCTCTGATGTTTCTGGATACAATAATATTGATCAGACACGTCTTACTCACATGATGTACATATTACATGTAATAAAGTGTGTCTGTTTCAGTGTTTAATGATGAATTCTCAGCAGCAGTTGCTGAATGTCATGAATAAAATAGTTTAGTTGAAGATCTCTATAAATCAAAACTTACAGAAAACATTAGTGGGTCTATATAGCATCCAAGAGTGAAACTGAACACACTGTGTTTTTACCAGCGCTGTCAATTCCTACTGCACATATACAAATTCTTGATAACATTAGTGATGTGACGTCAGGTCACGTGGCAAATCTGGGTTTCGAAACTTCAAATCAGATCAGAGCAATTGATTCAAACGTTTCGAATGTTTCGGAATGAGCATCACTAGCTTCCTCCTGACATACAGTACATTAGATTTAGAAAACCTACCTTTTCTTAACAGACTCATCCTCAGTATTATCTGATGCTGTAGTACTCGAGTCTGGTCTTGGTCTTGTCTCTGTCTCGGTTTCCTGTGGAAATTGTTCTTGAGATGAGCCGAGATCCTCTACCTGAGAAAACGGTAAACTTTTTTTTCAATCATTACTGAATATCAACAAAACCTTAAAAACAAAATAAAAGTCCTTTCTCTAGATGTTTAAATAAAATCAGTTTGCTGCTGGTTGAGGTTCTAATTGATACTTTCCATGATGGCTTACCTGGATTTTATTTGTTTGTTGATGTTCATTGGTTCCAAAATTCAACCATCTCCTGAGGGCAGATCAGAATGTTATTATTATGTTTTCATTTAATAATTACAAATTATGTATATGGTTTGTTTATATTCAGTTGAATTTAGGTGGTGATTCTGAATATGTTTTAGAGAAGAAGTGACAGAGAAGAACATCAGCACCATTTGCTTCCAAAAGTTGTAATGCAAAGTTGGACTTTATTATATAAATACATAATGAGATTATAATGTAATAATAATTAATAATATTTTTCAGCTATATATTATTCAATTATGTTATATTTTTGCTTATTTTAAAATAGAATGGTTGTACATATATATCATGTATAATGAATGTACAATGAACTACTTCTTTTTATTTTTATATTCTGAAAAAAAAGTTAATCTGGTCTCTGTCTTGTCTCAAACTTGACCACTCCTGGTCTCAGTGTTGACTTGGCCTCACCTCTAGTGGTCTTAACTAGTACACTGGCATAATCCGTCAAAAGAAAACCTTCATTTGCCCTTTACATTATGGAAACATAACATTACAAATGGACCAATAGAAACTATCCTAAATTAAGTGTTGGGTAACATTAGCAGAGGTTAAGTTAAAGTCAATGTGAATCAGAAATCACAGCACATGGGACCATACTGCCACCTTTCTGAATGAAACATGATATTAGGGAGGGTCTCCGAGCTACTGTTTTGCTCAATGATAGGTGGGGGCTGTTGAAACATGATACTATTGGTTAATATTACTTTTCCCTGCCCACTTTTGCATGGTGATGTAACGAAATTCAAAAGATGTTTCAGAGGCAGGACAAAAGACTTCACATTTTGATGGATGATTATGGAAAACAAGACTTTTATCTTTTAAACGGTATAATATGATGATTCTCACTTTTTATGACTAGGTCCAATAATCAGTAAAGTAAAGAATAAGTACATTTTGACTTCAGGTTGACTTCAAGAGCATTTTTTCTTCTCATAAGGTTTTCTTATGACAGCAATGCTACGAACGTGTAATCGTAGTTTAAATTAAAACAAGAAAAAAATGATTGTGTGATTAGTGCGATGAGCAGTTAAGTGTTTTTTGATCACACCTCACACACTGTATCCACAACATTATTTTCAGCTTTTGACACTAGTTGAGTTCAGATCTTCCACAGTGAATAAAAAGAGGCTAAAACAGTCAGTCACCCCATGAAGTAATTAAACTCATTTAACAGCGCTTGACGTGAACCATTTGCTGTAATCACTAATTGACAGTAATTACAACAGTACTTGGAACACTTATCGTGTGAGGCTTATCATTTTAAAATTTTAAACAGAGAATTAAATGAGATAGTCTTTGCCTAGATAATAGTGATGATTATCCTCAGAAACTGTGTAGCGCAAGGCAGCCTGTTGGAATGTTTTCTAAAAAGTTTGGCAATTAATGTGGAACTGGGGCACAAATAGATGGCAGGTCTGACTGATGAAGCTTTCTGCATATGCATTACTACTGACCTCTGAGGGCCACTGCAGTAGGGTTAATGAAGGGCAGGGGTAAACAGGAGCAGCCTCCTTCTCAGGCATGCTGGTGTCTTATTTCTCATTTCTGCTAAAGAGACCACTCAGTTATATCATACCTGCACGTCTGCTGCGGCCTCCTTTTCCTCTCCCATAATGTACCAAGGTGACTCCGCAGTCTGTGACCTCAAAGTGTCAGCCTTTTGGTGTCTGTGGAAGTAAATACTGTTGAGAGCATAATCAAAGACAGGAAATAAAAATGCTGACAAGCTGATTAATCTACTGTCTTCTGGCACATACAGTGGTCATTTTGAGTAATGGTTAAGTTACCAGCACCAACAAAAGTTATCTGTTCTGGACAGAATTCAGTTGCACTCAGGAAGAAAAAAAAAGGTTTGTCAAGTGGTTTCACACAGCTGTTAAGTAGTTTCTTAGATAGCTGAATGATTAAAGGGCCCATATCATGGAGTTATCCTTGATTTTGATATTTTCACTTCAAAACATACCCTTCACACCCCCATCCATGTAGTACATGAAAATTAAGCTGGAAAAACAGCCTTCTTTGAATCGTTTGCTTTTGTGATGTCACAAAAACCAACTGATTTACATATATCTGCTTATTCAGCCTGCAGCAAGTTAGCCTGCCCATTCAACCTGAAGTTATGAGGAGTGCGATGCAGGTCAGCCAAACAGAACAGCGGTGATTTACATATCACTCTTGAAGGCACTGCAACAAAATCAGCATGTTTAATTCTAAGAGATAAAGGCAGGTTGTGAATCGGTCAGGTAACATATAAATGATGCCTGGTTTTGGTACACTATATGGACAAAAGTATTGGGACACCTACACATTACACCTACAGGAGCTTGTATGACATCTCCTGGCATTCTCCAACCGAGACTCATCCATCAGACTGCCAGATAGAGAAGTATGATTCGTCACTCCACAGAATACGTTTCCACTGCTCCAGAGTCCAGTGGCGGCTTGCTTTACACCACTCCATCTGACGCTTGGCATTATGCTTGGTGAAGTAAGGCTTGTATGCAGCTACTTGGCCATGGAAACCCATGCCATGAAACTCCCGGCACACAGTTTTTGTGCTGATGTTAATGCCAGAGGAGGTTTGAAACTTGGCAGTTATCGAGTCAGCAGAGTGTTGGTGACTTTTATGCACTCGGCAACCCCATTCTGTAACTTTATGTGGTCAGACGCTTTGTGGCTGAATTGGTTCCTAAATGCTTCCACTTTTCAATAATACCACTCAGAGTTGATCATGGAATATCTAGGAGGGATGAGATTCCGTTGGCATCTTATTACAGTACCACGCTCAAATTCAGTGAGCTCTTCAGAGCGACCCATTCTTTCACAAATGTTTGTAAAGGCAGACTGCATGGCTAGATGCTTGATTTTATACACCTGTGGCAATGAGACTGAATTAAAACACCTGAGTTCAATGATTAAGAGGTGTGTCCCAATACTTTTGTCCATATAGTGTATATCTGCTTATTCTGCCTGCAGCAAGTTAGCCTGAAGTTATGAGTAGTGCAATGCAAGGCAGCCAGTCAGAACATGTTGTTTACATATGTCAGTCTTAAAGGCACAGCAAAAAAACAGCATTGTTAATTCTAAGAGATAAAGGCAGGTTGTGAAGCGGTCAGGTAACATATAAACAAATGGCTGTTTTTGGTACATAAACCTACATAAAATAGGTTGTGGGCCCTGTAATATGTATTCTATGTATTCAGATATATAACACAAAAGAATGAAAGTAGTCTGAGTAAATGTGAATGAATTAGATCCTTTTTTTAATATATCATGCATATATGTATTTACCTTAATATGGTTATAAATGGTAAGTTAATTATGCTACCCTGCTTATCGAAAGAGCACCAAAACATGAATCTTGCTTGTTGAGTTTACTGGTCACAGCAGGTCAAAGTACAAATGGTGTCAGATGTATCAGATGGCAACCGAAATCTAGTTTATGGAGCAAATGCTGGCAGTTTAAAGCCTGAAACGCGTCTTGGGAAAGTCTTGAGCAGGCGGTGTGAAACCTAGAAAGGCGTCCAGTTACCCCTAAAAATAGCAAATCCTGAAACTGTGGCTAGCAGTTTGCTTTCACACAGAGGGGGGCTCAGAGCTCAAGTCCGCCAGGTGATGAGCGCAAAGGGGTTTCATACGCGATTCTGTGAACACCGGACTGACGAAGACGACAGCAGTTCAAAGCTATAATGGTGTTCACGCTGACGACGTGAGGAAAACGTTTTGTAGCAGACAGTCTCCTTCAGCGACCGCCGTTAGCAGTCTGAGCAGAAGAGAACCTCCGGCTTCTGTCTTTGCTGTGTGAACAGAGCATCCAGGGGACTTCACAGCAGGTAAGTGAAGACTCTGTTTAAAGCGTAGAAGATAAACGCCGTACTTTTCAGCAGCTGTGTTTTGTGGGAAATGTAGTGACTGTAGTTTCGACACTTTTTTCGATGAACTGCGCGCTAAGACAAAATGACCTCGGGCGTTAGCTTTGCTGTCCCTACTGAAAAAACACAGAAACCATTAAGGAAACCCATAGAAACCAAATGTTTCTGTTGGTTCCTGATGGTTTTGTAATGTTTTGGGCTTTTTTGATCGGTTGATATCACAATTTAAGGGCTCGTAATGGTTTAACAGGTGACCATTGACTGATTCTAAATGCATTTGATGAGGTGTTCTGCAGGAAAGGGTAGTTAAGACTGACCCGTGGCTCCAGAGTTCTCACTGATGTCGGCTCTGCTGAGGTGCTGCAGTGAATGTTCTAGACCTTCAGCTCGTTTATAAATAGTGAAGCAATCATGTAAAAAGCTTGCAGACAACATGGACACGAGCCCATTAAGACACACGGTACATCTTCAGCAGTGCTTCCTTCTGTACTACAGCTTAATGCAAATGAATGGCTCATTAGTCTGTGTGTGAACAAGTCGATCAGAAGCTACACTCTTAGAAAATATGGTTCTTCAAGGGTTCTTTATTAAGAACCATGAGTTCTGGAACCATTTCATGCTTACATGGTTCTTTACATGGTTAATGGTTCTTCAGATTGATGGAGAATGTGTTGTATATGAAGATTGGTGTATATTGAAGATGGTTCTTTAGAGCACCAAGAAAGGTTCTGCTACTGTTACAAGCTTGACATCGTAACAATAACAGAACACTTTGTGTAACCATATACAACACACTCTCCATCAATCTGAAGAACCATTTCACCATGTAAAGAACTGTTTAGGCTTAAAATGTAGAATGCATTGTTCTAAATACTAAAGAACCCTTGAAGAGCCATCTTTTTAAGCCTGTACAAAACACCAATCTATTAGTAAACTCCTGAAAATAATCAGAGCAGGCTAGTTAGTGGTCAGAGGAAGAGCTGGGTGTACCTTAAAGGGGATCTCCACCAAATTTTCAAGATTCTTTTTTCATAATTCAGTTGTTCAGATGTGACAGTTATTCAGAGTATTTTGATGTGAAAATGGGCACTGAAGATAAACTCTGGAGTGAAAGTGTGTAGTTAAGGGACTTCATGTCTTTTGCAAAATGTAATTTGATTCCTGATTATTTGTACTTGCAACATATTCATTCTTATTTAAGATTTTACTTGTGGAATTTATTCTTTCCTTGAAAACATTTGACACAAAATGAACTTAATAAGAAACTTACTGACCTGGATTTCTTTACACCAGTGCTGACAGGAACCGGACAGGAAAATGTCTTATAAAAAAGTGGTAAATCATAAAAAAAGTTTTCTTTGGGAACTAGTTTGCCTTGTTTTGTTTGTTTGTTTTTACTTTTTAGCACATTGTAACTCATTTTAAGCCATAACCTTATTTCAAAACTGCTGAAAAACAACATCTCAGAGCTTTTAGAGGCATTAAACTTTTCAGACGTCTGGTTCCTGTCACCACCACTGTGAACAGTTCTGACTGCGCCAGTTTGTCTAGAAAGGACAACCACTTTGTTTACATCTGACTGATTGAATTATGCAGACATTTTGAAAAATCGTACTTCCCCTTTAAACGTCTTCTTTCTTTATTATTCGTGTTTTTTTATTAGCAAAGTCACATTTTAGCTCCAAAGCAAAGAAAGCAGTATCATTTAGGCTGTGACATCTTTCCTTTTGCTACTTTTTTGTAGTTGGGCGGGATTTGCTGTTAGCCCTAATGGAGATGGACGGAGGAGACTGAGCTGTACTGCAAGCTAAACAAACGCAGGCGCATTTATTTACATTCCTCATCAGCAGTGAAGCTCGCGCTGCTTTCGTGTTCACGAGCGCTCAGCGCTTTAATAAGACCCCACTGCTAAACTCCCATGTTCATTAAGCAGCTCTGGGTGCGGGTTTCAGTGTTTCTCGCCCCCGTAAACGACGCAGAAGCCAGTCGGGGCTGTTAGACTCGCAGCACCCTGTTGAACAGTCTGGGATTTCTACAGCATGTCAGATATCACGTGCTAGTAGATGTTGCAGCGCTGGAGCCAGTGGCGTAGCACAACCTATGGATATGAGATCAACCCTTTTGTAGTTTTAGAAGGTGGTTCCTCAGTTTTTTTTTCTTTCTCTTTTTTTCTCCTCGTGTGTCATAGCTGACGTCGACCGCCACTCGGTGGAACCCCCTTTCCCTCTCTCTCTCTCTCTCTCTCTCTCCGCTTTTTGTTCGCTCGCGTACAGCAGAGAGGGGTCGTGATTTAGTGCGGAAGCGTTGACGGTGGATGCGCCTTTCTGGATCCATGTGCATGAATGTAGGAGGCAGTGTGGAGGGGAGAAGGTAAGAGAAACGCTGGTTCTGCGATCCGAACGAGGTCGAGGCGCATCTGTAGCGCGAGCCACGCCGACAGCATGTGAGGGGAAAACACGGGGGGATTTTTCCTTTATTGACTTGTTAGCAGCACGCGCTCCTGCAAACTCGCCGCTTTTGTTCTTCTACGGGTTGGGGGGCAGGCAGAGGGGGCTGCATCGGCGAACGTGGCACCGAGCAGGCAGATGCAGCGCGCTTCTGAGCCTAAACAATGTGTGTAATCTCTCAACTGTTTCCTTGCAGAGCCCTTATCTCATCACCCGGTACCTCTGTTTTGGATTTGGCACGGACCTCGTAGGAGAAATCAGTGGGCACGCGACGGGGGGGATTTCGATTCCAGCCTAAATCGGGAATTACGCGTCCAAACTGGGATCTATGAGCGGGAAAGTGGCGAAGCCTAAAGAAGAAAAGGATGCTTCCAAGGGTAAGATGCGAGTCTCGCGCTGCCTGATTGCTGCCCCCCCTCTTTTCCTCCTCCCCACATCAGTGGTTTAAAGCGCCCGTGCTCAGTGCTCATCCATCTCCCCCCCTCCACCCCCCACTCTCATCGCATTGTCCTTTCAGGCTTGTGAACACATAGAAACATAGCAGGCTTTGTTAACGCTGCTATGCCTTTGGCACAGTGTTGATAGCTGTAGGTCGTAAAACAGACTGACTGATATCAGATGTGTCGCTTTAATGTAACAGCCGTAAAGCCAGCGGTGCAGGTGCCCGGCTGGACCTGAAGACAGGTGTGTGTGTGGATGAGAGAGAACTGGCTGAAAATCCGCATCACTCTCGCGCTAATGTGCGCTGTGTGTATGTGTGTGCGTGAGTGATGACGCGCGCGCGCTGTTTTGTTTGGAGCGCGAGCTCCCGCGCGAGCAGAGCGGCAATTCCTGCCCGAGCATCGCCATGGAGACAGAGGGGCCGCGGGGTTGCCAAAGAAACCCGCGCGGAGAAAAACGAGAAAACCGCACGCGCGGTCAGAGCGCGGCCATCTGCGTGAAAAAGAGCACGAGCTCATAATGGTGACTGACAAATGAGCAAAAGAAAAGGCACGGTCCAAACCTGCCATGAGCAAAGCTACTTATAATAGTAATAATAATAATAATAATAATAATAATAACACACTATAAAACACAGTAATCTTCATTTTCTGTGTAGTAAAATCTACTAATACACTATTTCTTGTATAACCATTAGTTACAAAGTCTAGGTAAGATCAATTAATTTGAATTAAGTCTTACAGACTGAAGGATCTTTTGCCCAAAAAGCTTCCCAGCATTCTTAGCGGTTTTCTTAGTTTCTGTTAACTCTTATTTTTCTAATTTCTGAGTGTAGTTCTCTTTGCAAAATGTTATGTTTTGTGTCATAAGTTGCTCCCCTGTTAAATGTTAAGTTTGGATGTATTTGACCTGTTTTGTTATTCTCACCATGATGGTGTTTTGTGTTCAGGTTTACTAAGTTCAGTCTTTTACCATGAATGTTCACAGAATAGCAAATTAGCATTGAGCTTTTAGTGTAATCAGAGATGGAAGACTAGTTTTATCTAAGCTATGTGTTTGTTAGTGTATGAAACAGTCAGTTTGCACAGTAAATGATATTTGATTCAGGTTCACCTAACTAAGGAGTAAGCAGAAAATGAAAAAGTAGAACCAGCGCAGTGGAAACCATTTATAATGAATTGGCTGTTTAAGTTAACCTTCCTAGGTGCAAGTGTGGATCACTGAAAATGAAGTAACTATAACTCGAATGTAAAGTTATTAAAGATTGAACCTATTAAGTAACTTTACTTACAACTCATTTATGTTTAGAGTATAATAATAATAATGATAACATAGAAAATCAGAAAAAAAGAAATGTTTAACTCTTTAATTGGCCAACATCCATTAGCAGGTATAACTCTCATAACTTAATTTGCATTTTCTCTGTAATTACTGAATAATACACAAATAAGCCTGAAAATTTAAGGGGTTAAATTGTGTTTGGGGTTTGAAAAATCAGTGACTTTTGATTTTTTTAGTCCCCGTAAAGTATCGGTCCCTTTTAAAAATCAGTTAGATAAACTCACTTTCCTCTGTGGACCTGCTTTATAGTGGAGAAAAAACAAAAGTAATAGCATGAGCACGTGTTTTGGTCAGCTGGCCTTGATTGCTAACTCAGTATGCACAGTTTAGAGTTTCGCCAGTGAACCACATCATTAATGATTTTCCTGAAAATCAAAATATCTAATATAAGTGGCAGCTAAATCAAATGAATTCTCTTTAATTAATGCTTTTGTGTTTCAGTGTGTCAAAATGTTACTGCAGGAAACCCAAAAGCAGCTCACCTTTACTCCTTTCTTAAACATTTCAGTATCAATAGATATTTTTCTTATCTGTTGTTTCCTGATCAGCATGGCCATATCCATAAACCCACTAGTCTTGCAGGGCCAGACGTGATCGCATAGCGATTATCCATGTCTAGGGTTGACCTGTTTAACTTTTAGTGCTGGATTGTGGAGAAATCCATCGCTAACAAGGGTACACCCTCCCAAATCTGCCCAAATATTGACTACAATTCATTGTTTTTAATAGTAATTTTTTAAATGTAGCACTTTGAAAATGTTCTGGTTCTTCTTGAAGTATTGCAATATCATGTTTTTACCATATCGCCCATCTCTAGAATGATAACACACACCAAACAGGTTAGCTAGCACATTGTTATCCTTAGCTAACAGAACGATTCTTCTCTCGCAAGAGGTATTGTTTATGTTTACCACACACACTTATAAAACGTGGCTATTCAAGGGTTCTTTAGTAAAGGCAGTGGTTCTACTTAGAACCATGAGTTCTATATAGAACCATTTCACGCTTGCATGGTGAAATGGTCTTTCAGATTGATGGAGAATGTGTTGTATATGGTTCTATATAGCACCAAAAAGGGTTCTTCTGTTGTTACAGTGTCAGGCTTGTAACTATAGCAGAACACCTTTTGATGCTATATAGAACCATTTTCAGAAAGGTTCTATACAGAGCCATATACAACACATTCTCCATCAATCTGAAGAACCGTACCATGCAGATAACCATTTAAGGGTGAAATGGTTCTATATAGACCTCAAGGTTCTAGAACCATTGCCTTTACCAAAGAATCCTTGAAGAAGCATCTTTTTAAACATGTATGTAATGTGTTCTCCAGCACGTGACTCACATCTACATGCTCAACTTTTCAGTGATGATAACTTACATTGCAGCCACGGGCTACTAACAGGCTTGATGTTCATTGGACAATAATGTCGAGCATCGCCCACTACTTTGAGCCCCACCTTCACGAGGTGTTGGATTGGTTTAAAGAATTTACCACTCAGTTTGTTCCCACCCTAGTAAGTCTACGTTCCCACCCATAGTTTTGCCAAACGTTCTCTTTACGAGTTCACATCAGGCCCTGCGAGACTATGAAACCCACTGTAATGATGATGCTGTTTCTGTGCCAGTGCTCACTGTCTACTAATAGACTACTCTGCACAAGATTCATAGAATTGCTGGAGATCTATGGGTAATGCCTGTGCAATAAATCACATCAATCCATGACATTTGGTAATTGTATCCATGTCTTTGCATTCCCACTGGTGCATAATGATTTACTCCCAGAGGTATACACATATCCCTGGTTGGGAAAGGCTAAAACATAGAGCATTTCTCCTTCTGGCTCTCAATAAACAACCATTGAGGTCTCAACCTTGTGGGTTGTTTTGGTGTAAATCTATCTGTTCTGGATTAATGCACAGCATCTAGTTTTAGAACTTCTTCACAGTGCTCTAGCTTCAGGATACATTTCCAACTGAACTTACTTTCCTGTCAAACTATGTGAAAATATTAACTCAGGCTTTTCCAGTTTGATGTGAATCTGCTGACTATAAATATGGTTAATACGCCACTGTAAGCTGAATGCTCTTGGCTCGATGGCAGGGCCACAGTAATCAGGCATTGGACACAGGATGGGGTAGGAAACTTAAGACTTGCATATTTTCTGGCAGATGAATTGAGCCCTAGGCCAGCCACAGTGCCAAAGCAATAGATATTCCTAGCAGAGTTTAGAGAAGCTTCATTAATCATAAGGCACCAAAGCCATTTTTGTGCCGGGACTCTGACACCTGCTCTAATCTGCCAAGCCGAGAGACTGGCTGCCCCTACCGTGGCGTTTAAATCCTCTGCTGCTCGCGACGGGTGTGTACCAAACACCTGCAGGTGAGATGATAGACCTTGAATCCACACTGCAGTGGGAAAAGCACTAAAGAAAGTGTGTTCTGTTGTTGTTCTTTATGCTGCACTCACAAATTGGATATCCAAGGTGCTGTTATTTTTACCATCTGCTGCTTCAGTGTGGAAATGTTTCTAGCTTTTATTGGGAAGTTATACAGTGTACTGTAACTCAAAGATTGGGACTGTAGATACAATTAAGTACTGGCTTTAATTCAACATGCATAAAGGGTTTAATTACAATAGACTGGTTGAGGTGTGGAGGCTCCTTTACCCTTAGAAGTTACAGTTATTATCAGTAATGACAAAAGTTGTTGCAAATCTTTGTATTAGTTGTACATTGCTGGCAACTCATTGAAATAAGTGGGAAAATTCTGTAAACGCTGTTCATTTTGAAAACATTCTATTCAGCCCCCAGTCCATGCAGTTCGTACATACAAATGAGCTGCAAAAACTTTGTTTTTGAATTCACTGTTTTTGTGATGTCATATAAACCATCATATTAATTGAGAGTCTTTACAGGGCAACCAGTCAGCACATACCTCATATACAAGTCTTAAAGGCACAGTAACAAAAACAGCTGGTTTAATTCAAATGGCTGAAGAGAGGTTGAAACATGGTTGTGTAAAAACTATGTTTGGTACCTAAAACCTCACAAACATTGTAAGTGGTATAAAAAAATAATTATTTAACTATCAGATGTTTAGACATCAAAACAAATGGAAAAAAGTGCAGACTCAAACCTCTAAATACAGAATGGACATTGAATGTTAAGGTAATTAATTATAACTATGTAATATTACTGTGTATATAACTATGTATCCATTATGTAGTTGTTAATGCCACTAAATAGTATAGCAAAATAAACTTGACCTCAAGCGTAAGGCAGAAGTACAGACTCAAACCAGTAAATACAGACTGTACACTCACTGTAAAAGTTATTCATATCATCATGTAATTATGTAATTGCATTTAGATGTGGCAATAAGCGCACTAATAATGCTGCATTCAACAAAAACTTGGAATTTGGAACTTCCAACCGCTGACTAGGAGAAACCAAAGAAAAAATTCCATCAACTTGGAGTTCCTGCTTAGAAGGTCAGGAGGTTGTCCTTAACTCCAAGTTTAACATTAGATGTCACATCAGTATGGCTGCTCACACTATCAACAGTAATAAAGTAGCACTTTTCTACTTTTAAAT